TATGTATAATTTTTTCCCCTCTATCTATCTATCTATATCTATATATATGTATGTATAATTTTTACCCTAATACTGACAAAGGTCTCATGAGTTACAAATATCATCTTTCCGGGCACGAATGTAAACAGTTCAACCTAAGATAAGTCTCTTACAATTTTCTCTTTCCTATTTACCTCTTCATGTTCCACTAGAGTCTTGTATTTGAAAATAAAATTTTCTATTCAACTCTGGTCTTTTCATCAAGAATGCTTGAAAGTCCTCTATTTCACTGAATGACCATTTTTTACCCTGTAGGATTATACTCAATTTTGCTGGGTAGGTGATTCTTGGTTGTAATCCAATCTCCTTTGCTCTCCAGAATATTATATTCCATGCCCTGTGGTCCCTTAATGTAGAAGCTGCTAAATCTTGTGTTATGCTGATTGTGTTTCCACAATACTTGAATTGTTTCTTTCTGGCTGCTTGTAATACTTTCTCCTTGACCTGGGAACTCTGGAATTTGGCTACAATATTCCTAGGAGTTTTCCTTTGGGATTTTTTTCAGGCAATGATCTGTAGATTCTTTCAATTTCTATTTTGCCCTCTAGTTCTAAAATAGGGCAGTTTTCTTGGATAATGTCCTGAAAGATGATGTCTAGGCTCTTTTTTTGATCATGGCTTTCAGATAGTCCAATAATTTTTAAATTGTCTCTCCTGGATCTATTTTCCAGGTCAGTTGTTTTTCTAATGAGATATTTCACATTGTTTTCTAATTTTTCATTCTTTTGGATTTGTTTTAGAGCGTCTTGATTTCTCATAAAGTCACTAGCTTCCAATTGCTCTATTCTAATTTTTAAGGAAGTATTTTCTTCAGTAATATTTTGGACTTCCTTTTCCATTTGGCCAGTTTTGCTTTTTAGGGCATTCTTCTCCTCATTAGCTTTGTGGACCTCTTTTGTCATTTGGTTTAGGCGATTTTTTAAGATGTTATTTTCTTCAGTTTTTTGGGGGGTCTCCTTTAGCAAGCTGTTGACTTGTTTTTCATGATTTTCTTGCAAAACTCTCAGTTTTTCCTTTACTTCTCTTACTTGCTTCTCAAAATCCCTTTTGAGCTCTTCCAAGGCCTGAGACTGATTCATATTTTTCTTGGAGGCTTTGGATGTAGGAGCTTTGACTTTGTTGTCTTCTTCTGGCTGTATGTTTTGTTCTTCCTTGTCACCAAAGTAAGATAACATAGTCTGACTCTTTTTGTGCTGCTTACTCATGATCCTGGCCAGTTACTTGAGTTTTAAACTCTTTGTTAAGGTAAAAGTCTGCTTCCAATGTGAAGAGTGTACTGTCCTAAGCTTTGGGGGTTTGTACAGCTGTTTTCAGAGGTACTTCTAGGGACTTGAAAATTTTCAATTCTTCTAAGGTGCTATGATAAGGGGCAAGGTGTTTTCTCTCCACCGCCACAACAAGCTCTACCATGCTAGTGCTCCTCCTCACCCCAGGACCGCCCCTCAGAACTGTGACCCAGATCCAAGCACCACTAAAGCAAGAGATTCCTGCTTCTGCACTGGCAAAGAGATCCCTGCAATTCCCCCTGATCAGCCACTTGATTCCCCTCAGTCTGTGGGCTGGAAGCTCAGGAAAAAGCTGTGGCCCTGGGCCATGCTCGAGACTTGCAGCTGAGACCTAGCTCCTCTCTCACCCCAGTCACAGACTTTTCCCACTGACCTTCTAAGTTGTCTTTGGCATTCATGGGTTGAGAAGTCTGGAAACTGCCACAGCTGCCCATGATTCAGTCCTCTGAGGCCTGCTCCAGAGTTGCTGTGGCCTGTGCACCCATGCTGAACTGTGCTCTTCTCCCAGCCTGGCATGATATACCTTTCTGATCAACCATCCAGGCTGTCTTTGGCCAAAAATTTGTTTCATTCTGTCTTTCTGTGGGTTCTGCTGCTTTAGAATTTGTTTACAGCCATTTTTTAGGTATTTGGAGGGCTTTGGGAGAGAGCTCAATACAGTCACTGCTTTCCTCTGCCATCTTGGCTCTGCCCCCTTGTACTTTTCATTAACTAACAGAAAACAAATCCCTTCACAACAAGTACAAAACTTAAAGTATCTTTGAGAATTCAGCAAATAATTACATGGAATCATTGTACCATCAAATATAAAGCTATTCTCAACAACTGTCCGGACATAATATTGCCTTACAAAAATTTAAGAATGTTTTGAAAATATTTTGCTCTGATAAACTTATCAGTGAAAAACAAGGTGGAAGAAAAAGCTCCCAAAATATAGAGACCTATGAGAAGAGATCAAAATATTTATATATAATACCCATCTCCCTTTGACTACTAAAGTTTTCCCAATAACTATTTTGATTTTGGTGATTCTACAGAAGATGAGCCTGCAACATAAAGCCTTAATTCAATACAGAAATCATTTTATCCACCTCAAAACAGTTTATCATACACCAAACTCTAAGAATAATGTCACTATAGCAAGTTATCATAAGACCATCTTCTCTTTGAATTCTTAAGAGCATAAAGGTGTGACGGACAAAAGGACAATGATCAGTTTGATCTTTTCTCCTGGATCATTATAACCTCCTCAAGACTTTTTAGCTGAATTGGTCAGTACACTTCTTGAAAACATTAGTCTCCCTAAGATAGTTTAGGATTTTCATTTGAAGAATTTGAGATATGAAATCCACTCAATGTGGGGCCATGTTAATCCTCCTTTACCCATAGGATGTTATCGCTGAAAGCAGCATATGCCATTAACTACTTATTTTTCTACAGATTGTAGTATTTTTTCTTACCTATTTCATTTCTCTACTTCTTATGTTATTTTTTAATTAATTTGTTAGTTTTCAACATTCACTTCCATAAGATTTTGAGTTTTAAATTTTCTCCCCCTCCCTCCCTGTCTCTCTCCGCAAGAAGTGTACAATCCGATGTATGTTTGTGTGTATATACACACACATATATATAAATACATATGTATATATTTATATATAGTCTCTACATGTACATTCCTATTAAACATATTTTCACATTAGTCATGTTGTAAAGAAGAATTAGAACCAATAGGAGGAACCACAAGAAAGAAGAAACAAAACAAAACAGAAGAGAAAAAAATAGCAAATAGTATGCTTTGATCTGCATTCAAATTCTATAATTCTTTCTCTGGATGTGGATGGCATTTTCCATTATGAGACTTTTGGAGATGTCTTAGATACTTGCATTGCTGAGAAGAGTTAGCTCTATCAAAGTTAGTCATCACACAACGTGGCTGTTAGTATGCATAACATTCTCCTGGTTTTCTTCACTTTACTCAGCATCAATCCATACAAGTCTTTCCAGGTTTTTCTGAAGTCTTCTTGTTCATCATTTCTTATAACACAATAGTATTCCATTATATTTACATACCACAACTTGTTCAGCCATTCCCCAATTGATAGGCATCCCCTCAATTTCCAATTCTTTGCTATCACAGAAAAAGCTGCTATAAATATTTTTGTACGTATTGGTCCATTTCCCATTTGTATGATCTCTTGGGGATATGACCTAGAAGTGCTATTGCTGGGACAAAGGTTATGTACATTTTTTATAGCTCTTTGGGCATACTTCCTATTTGCTCTCCAAAATGGTTGGACTTTGGACTCTACCTACTCCACCAACAATGCATTAATGTTCCAATTTCCCCAAATCTCCAATATTTATCATTTTCCTGTTTTGTCAAGTTGGCCAATCTGATATGTGTGATGTGGTACCTCAGAGTTCTTTTGATTTGCATTACTCTCATCAATAGTGATTTAGAGCATTTTTTTCATATGACTATAAATAGCTTTAATTTCTTCCTCTGAAAACTGCCTGTTCATATCCTTTGACCACTTATTAATTGGGCAATGACTTGTATTCTTATGAATTTGACTTAGTTCTCTATGTATTTTAGAAATGAAGCTTTTATCAGAAACACTGGTTATAAAAATTCTTTCCCAGTTTTCTGCTTCCCTCCTAATCTTGGCTGCATTGGTTTTGTTTGTGCAAAAACTTTTCAAATTAATGTAATCAAAATTATCTATTGTGCATTTCATAATGTTCTCTATCTCTTGTTTGGTCATCAATTCTTCTGTTCTCCATAAATCTGATAGGTAAACCATTCCTTGCTCTCCCAGTTTGCTGGGAATATCAGCCTTTATATCTAAATTGTATACCCATTTTGACTTTATTTTGGTACATGGTGTGAGATTTTATGCCTGTTATATGCATATATACATATGTTGTCTGCCTAGTTTCTGCCATACTGTTTTCCAGTTTTACCTGCAGTTTTTGTAAAATAGTGAGTTCTTATGCCAGAAGGTGGGTTTTGGGGGTTTATCAAACAGTAGATTACTATAATCATTGACTACTGTGTCTTGTGTACCTAACCTATTCCACTGATCCACCACTCTATTTCTTAGCCAGTACCAAGTAGGTTTGATGATTGCTCCTTTATAATATAATTTAAGATTTAGTATGTCTAGGCCACCTTCCACAGCATTTCTTTTCATTAGTTCCTTTGATATTCTGGACCTTTTGTTCTTCCAGATGAATTTTGTTATTTTTTCTAGCAAAAATATGGAATCTTCATGAATTTGCATGTCATCCTTATGCAGGGGCTATGCTAATCTCTGTACCATTCCAACTGTAGTATATGTGCTGTCAAAGCAAGAACCTTACGTTATTGTTTTTAAAGGAGTGTTTGTACCCATTATATATTTTAGTACTTTGATGACTAGTAATTTCCTTCGGCAGTTTAACTAATAGAAATCAATCATTGTAATAAAGAGATGAAAAGAATTTGGAAATTACCTCAACCAGCAAAAACTTGCTCTCTTTACCAAGCATAGCTATATGGCCGCCCATGGCAATGGTGGTTCAGGATACAAATTTATTTGTAAAATCTTACAGGATGGTAGGAGGTTGTGAGAGGCATTGTCTCATAAAACACAAAGAAATAGTGGAGAGGAAAAATGCCTAATGGCATTTAAACAATGAAAATGGAAAGAGGACAGTGAACAGAAAAAAAAAGAAAGAAAGAAAAAAGACATGTAAGTACCTCCAAGATAAACTTTTTTCTCTTTCAGTAACCTTGAAGCCATCACATTTCAACTCTTAAATCAGGGATATGCTATATGAAGAAGCAGAAATGACAGTATGGAAAACAAAGATGAAAAGAGGAGCTGGACAGAATCACATGCATACATAGATACTGCATACAAACTACTGTGCAAAGACTGTGTCAATGAACACAATGAATGGGAAAAAAAATAAGTAGAAGAAACAAGACTGGGACTTTCTTTTATGGATGTGGTACAGGATTATGATTTTTTTTTGGTTTGTTTTCATGTGTCCATCAACTACTAGAAAAGGAAGCAATAATAGTCATGGCACTAAATCGTACATTCAAAGATATATCATCTACTTAAATTCACTTATGACACAGGCATAGACAAATATATAAAATACAATATAACTGCAGAGTCATGAGACTGATTTTAATCTATGGCTTGAGTCTTTGTCTCTCTGCCTACATCACTGTTTCTCTGTATCTATCTGTCTCTTTCTGTATCTTTCTCTGAATCTCTCCCTTTCTGTCTCATTCTCTCCCTCTTTACTCTTTGAGTCCCTGGTTCTCTGTAGTTAGAAAAAATAGAAGAGCACTGAACCTCAAGTTAGGGACTTGGTTTCAAATACAAGCTCTGACACTTAACAGCTGAGTGGTCTTGACAAGTTATTAACCTCTCTGAACCTCAGTATCTCCATCTGTAAAGTGGGGGTAATTAATACTTGCACTTCTTACCTCAGACTTATTGTTGCAGAAGTCATTTTTAATATTAATATGTATATCCTTGATTTTAGCAATCTAATCATTGTTTCTTGAGATTAGACAAAAAACATAAAAACTAAAAAATTTGATTATTTGTCTATGCCTGTGTCATGAGTGAATTTAAGTAGATGATATATCTTTGAATGTACAATTTAGTGCCATTACTATTATTGCTTCCTTTTCTAGTAGTTGATGGACACGTGAAAACAAACCAAAAAAAATCATAATCCTGCACTACATCCATAAAAGAAAGTCCCAGTCTTGTTTCTTCTACTTATTTTTTTTCCCATTTGTTGTGTTCATTGACACAGTCTTCCATTAATATTACTTGGGCTTTTTAATATGATTTTTAAAAATTATTCAATCATTCCATAGATTTGTTGTCATTCATGGTAAGATGACCCATACTCTACACATAAAAGTAGCTTATTCTTCCAAGCAACTGGAACCTCAATCTATAATGTCTCTTCACTTGTAATAGTTTCATGGATGCCTTTTGGCAGTTCTATCAAACACAGCTGCAGTGGCCTTCAGTTTGGACAGGGCTCTCATTTGTCTGAGAAGTTGTACTGTAAGCAAGACTATAGGAAGTCTGGGGATATGAAACTCAGAATCAATAGTATTCCTGGCTCATTATTTTTAGAATTCTTAAGGCTTTATCTTTCTTTTTTTTTTAAATTCAATAAGAGTTTTTTCACATGGAGCTCTGAATTATGAGTTGTGAGAGATATAATAATAAATAAGCCATGACCTCTTACCTCAAGAAGCTTGCAATGGAGCAGAAGAGATAAAATATACCAAAAATAAGAGAGATGGAGAGACAGAGACAGAGACTATATTCCTTCCTTCCTTCCTTTCTTCCTTCTTTCCTCCCCTCCCTCTTTCCACATAGGGAATCATATCCTTACCTGTAGATACTCACCCCAAATGAATATAAATTTTGATTGCTGAAACCCAGAAAAATATCTTGGGGTTTACTGGCTAGATTTCTTTTTGATGGGCCATGCCTTAAACCCAAATCACTCTGGCTCTCATTGATTGGCCAATAATGGGTCCCAGCCCAAGCTTCAATTGATCATGGTTTGGATTCTGATGTCTCAGTGAGTGTAAATAGCAATTGTTTAGGTTTTGGTGAGAAACCCTGAGGGTCTTCCCCTTCCAGATTAGTTTTATTTTTTTTGACTAGGTAAAAGAGGCATTCTTTGCATCATTTTTACCTAGCCTTAATCATTGAATGGTCAAACTGAGACCTGGGAAAGACCTTAGCTCAAAAAGGTCAAGGCCTCCCAGTGCATCTAGCGTCATCTCCAGTCATCCATGTCTTGCTACTGGACTCAGATGGCTCTGGAGGAGACAATAAGGCTGATGACTTTGCACAGCCCTCCCTCACTTAAATCCAATTCATCTGCAAGTCATGACATCTCCTTCTTGATGTCATGGTCCTCTTTGAGAAGGAAGGACAAACAACAATTCCAGTTAAATGGAAGAAGATTCTACAACTTCACGTATTAATGGAAATAGCAGGAAGCAGCATGATCGGATTCTGCAAATCCATAACTGGGTTGGCGTGAGAAGAGTACCATGGTTGTTACTGTATCCTCTCCTCATATGCCTTGGGTCCTTTATTTCTCTAGAAGAATGATAAACTCCCTCATCTTTCTACCTCAACAGCTTAAAACATCAATGTCTTTAACCATCCTTTCCTCTTTATCTTTGATCCCAGAGGATAAAATGACCCCACTCTTTATCAATACTAATCCTTTTATTCGTGTCTTTGATTCCATCTCTCCTATTTCTCCAGGCCCTTATCCTAACACTCTTCTTTTTCTGTGTCTCTCTTTGTCTCACTGTGTCTTTGTCTCTGTCTTTCTCTTTCTCCCTCACCCCCTTTCTTCCCTGCACTGGATCCATCTCATATTCCTACAAACATATTCATTACTATGCTAAGAAATTTTTCTCTGACTTTTCTTCCACCTAAAATAATTCAACCTGTTTTTCTCCTCCACATCACTAATAAATTTCTATATTTGATATAGAAGAGTAGTCTGTATTTGTTGTCTCCATTTCCTCAGTATTCTCTCCTCAAAACTCATTAGCTTGGCTTTTCCCCCCATCACTGTCAAAACTTTTCTAAGGTCTCATAAGACCTCTTAATTGGCATATCCAATAGCATTTTCTCATTACTCATTGTCCTTGACCTTTCTATACCTTTGCGCTATTCACTCTTTCTGAGTCAGGTGGCACTTATGGAAGTTGTGGCTTCAGTTTAAATTCCGAGTCCTTAATCAACAATTTCATGGTTGCTTTGCCCTTTTCTCATTTACAATAAGCAATCAAATGCTTAGGAAAGTGCCTAAGTCCTTTCATAGGTCTCACTGAAATGCTTGGGGTACATAGGAAATACTTAATACTTATGGCACTTCCTGGGGCTTAACACAGACAGACTGTCTGAGGCACTTCAATTCTACTAGGAATGCAGCATCCAATTATACACTGACTGTAATATCTCCCAAGGACTTGGGCTAATTGTCTGTGATTTGATTCTCTGTATCTACTAGTCATCACCACACAGCAGCAAGTGATAGAGCTAACAACAGATGTCATAGAGAGTTAATGATTATGACATGCCTCTAATTTTTCCTAAGGATTTTCAGGGTTATGATATTTCATTAATTAGTAAGGTTTTGAGTTAGTAATTGACTCTAAGCCTATTTTTGATTGTCTAACCAATCATATATTCATAGCTTTTCAAGAAGGAAAGGACTTCAGAGGTCATCATAGTCCAACCTTTGAGATTATTCATAGATTCTTCTGACAAAACCCTCAATAACAGTCTTTTAATACTTTTTGTAAACATTCACAGTGATTAGAATATTACTACCTCACAAAGCAGCCCATTTAATATTGGAACAACTGTGATTTTTAGAAAATTGTTTCTTACCTAAGAATGGGAAGTCTAGTGATTATTACACCCCACTTAAATATACTTAACTTTGTTAGTCAAGGACTTTTTGATTGAATCAGTTACAACTAGTTATGAATAGGGCTGCATACCTCTTTGAATCAATGACATTTCATTTACTTGCAACAGGAAGTCTACTCCTATTGGGTTAGAGACTTGATCACGCCCTGACAAGATTGCATAAAAGTAAGGAACTAGTTCAAAACTAGGTAGAGATTTCAATAGCCTGACAACACAGAAGGAAGAGTAGCTACATCACAGCTTAGATGGAAACAGTACTTTGGGAGGAAGGGTAAAGAGTAAGAAAATTTTATACTTAAAGTTATAATACCCTCCTGGGGGAGGTGACAGTTTATAAAAGGCTTTGAAGCCCAAAAAAGGGGATTTTATATTTGATTCTGAAAGTGTAAGGAAGTCACTGAATTTTATTGAATGGGGAAGGGGTGATGTACTCAGACTTGAATTTTAGGAAGATGACTTTGGCAGCTGAATGGAAGATGGACCAGAAAAGGGAAAGACTTGTGGCAGGGGAACCAATCAGCAGGCTACTGCATTAACTGTGGTAATTCTCTTTTTGCTTATGTTATTTGTCTATTTGTATTTATATTGCTAATGAGGATTGTACATCCAGTGTAGGTCAGTGGAAGGCTCCTCTGCTTCCTCCATTTGATGAAATTACTCAAGTACTACTCAGGGAACTTAGTGGAAAATACTATGGAAAGAATATATAAGCAGGTCACAAAGGGTGGAGTGTACAGTAATAATCAGAGTATAGGAATATGACCTATGACTCCATAGTTAATGTAAATTGCTTTGAAAGAATGTATACAAGCAAAAGAAGCTCCAACCTTCTCATGGGAAAACTTGTACATGACCCTAGGTC